ATCTATAACATTCTGGCCCGAACTATACACCTGATGGACCCAGTATTCAACCGACATCATATAACACATTACTTTTAATCGGGAATCAATTAGCCACACCAAAAATGCGCAAAATACACCTATTTGCTTCTCCTTTGCAAGTAGAGCTACTAGCAAATACCAATGGTGTAGCATAGTTTGTTTTCTCTATATATGCATAAAGCATAACACCAAATCCACTTCCCCATGTTAAACCCACGTGGAGGGACTCTTTCTCCTCCATTAATTAATGACTCACCATGCCTAGGCTAAGCCTACCCTATTATCCTCCCCTCCACCCCACCAAACCATCATCTCCTCTAAATCCACGTATGACAAAGTTGGCAAGGTGGCAAATAATCCACCCCCATGCTTTACCCCATGCATGAGCAATAACCTATCATTTCCCCACCTCATGCGATCAATTACACGTAATAGCTAGCTAATTAGGCTTTACTTGATGGGTGGAGAATTTACCCCAACATGAAATATATTGACAACAAATCTCCCACCTCCAAATTACACGTGGATAACTATCCACCCATGAACCATTTCACTAACCAAATCTCCACCAATTTCATTACATGCTTACCATCCATGCGTACATACAATGTCAATTACACGTGTATGCATGAGTTGATAATTAATTAAGTAATTTCCACCAATCAATACTTTAATTCCACTCCATGCAACTCCATACTTCTACACGTGTAAACCAATGTGAGCTTGGGCATTTTTCTTGTGCTGGTAGCCATGATATGCATACAGGCATGTACCCACGTCCGAGTCAATATCCCAAAACCGTCAATTAATTTGTTAATTCAATTTGTTTATTTATGATTAATAAAAGGACACGCCACCCATGCCAGGAGCATGAGGCACCTATAAATAGGACGCTCATTTATACTTTCTCAACAGTTCATTTTCGGAAAAAACTCTGAATCTCTCTCTAAAAAGCCGGCTTACTATGCCGCTCCCGGTTACTCTCCTCTCAATACTCACTTGAGCTTCGGAGAAGGTCCCCGCCGACCACCGGCCGGCGGGTTCCTTTTTTGCAGGCGTTCATCTCGAGAGCTGGAATTCAACGGCAACCAAAAGGTCAACGCTCTGCGGACTCTACAAGACGTTGGCCAGGAGGAAGATCGGCGCTCACCGGACCTCAATCACATTGAAGCAGGCTCCTCGGAGCTTGGCATCAACAATTAGCGCCCACCGTGGGGCCCGGTGAGATTAATACCAACAAACCGTCAATCCAACAAGACGAGGTGGATACACAGGATCTTTTAACCGAAGCCGGGATTCGTCATGATGCAACTCCAAACATCAATCAAGTTTCTATCTTCAAGAATCGAGGATCCCAATAAGGTGGACACGCAGGATCTACAACACGAAGAAGGGGTTCGTCAAGATGCAACTCCAAACATCAATCAAGTTGCTATCTTCAAGAATCGAGGATCCCAACAAGGTGGACACACAGGATCTGCAACTCGAAGAAGGGGTTCGTCAAGATGCAACTCCAAACATCAATCAAGTTGCTATCTTCAAGAATCGAAGATCCCAACAAGGTGGACACGCAGAATATGCAACTCGAAGAAGGGATTCGTCAAGATACAACTCCAAACATCAATCAATTTGCTATCTCCAAGAATCGAGGATCTCTCGACTAAGATTGAGTTGTGTCAATCTTTGGTACGGAACTGCGGGCCTTCAACCCCACTAGTTTCTCCGTCGATTTGCCGCGAAATCATAAGATCCTCAAGTCCTCTCATGGAATGGCGCCTTGACATCAACAATTGGCACCTATAGTGGGCCTTGATGAAAAGTTTCATCAACAATTTGCGCTTGCTATGGAGCCCAGTGAAATTTTTTACAAACTATCATTGTCAACGTCAAACCCGCTAGGAGAGATGGTGGAGAAACCTGATGTCGTGGAATTCACAACGAGGCCGTGGAGGCACCGGTTTAGGTCCACCTCTCGTAAGACCTACGTTTTACCGAGGAAGCCCATGTGGTCTACTTTTTAAGTAGGCACACCTCCATCAATGAGGTCAAGGGTTCAATTCCCCGCAAATTGCTATTGTGAAAAAATATCCACTTTTTCACCCACACCACTCTGCCTCCCATCTCTTCCGAATCATGACGGGACAACTTTTTCATCATCATCACCAATCTGGCAGGGGAACCTCTTCCTTTCTCATGCTCCAATCGAGAAAATCCAAGTATGAGAAATTTTTGTAAACTCAAAAACTATCTGGTAATCCCTCCTAACTCTCATTTATACTTGATATCAAAATTCTCCTATGATGTTGCATAACCCAAACTATTGTCCTAATCACTCATACACGGACAACACTAAACACACAACATAAGCCTGCAACGATTGGCATTTTTCGTCTGCCATGATTGGTTTGGGTCATCTACTAAGATTGTCACGATTCTCCATGGTGCCCACCACGACTGGTGCGGCCTGCCTGTCACCAATGCAGTCAAAATCGCGCTTTAAAACTTAAAAACTTACGATTTTACGCTTTTGGGTCACCAAAACGCTTTCGTTTCCATTTAAAAACTTAAGTGTATAAAATCGGACTAAATTGCGCTTTAAAACTTAAAAACTTACGGTTTTACGGTTCTAGTTCACCAAAACGCTTTACGTTTTTACGCTTTTAGTTCGCTACATGAGTATTCTTTTCATGAAATTAATTATAAAAAGTATATTTTTAAAGTAAATCACTAACAATATGATACATTTGAGATTAAAAGATACATACTAGGTACTTGGATGCATTCTACTTCAATAGAGTAATCTAATTCACCAACTAGGGTTTTTCCAAATTCATTAGCATAGAGAGGCTTATCGTTAAAATTTATGTTTACGAACTTATTATTAAGATGCTATAAGTTGCTCTACTTTAAACATGAATCACATGTATTTATTAACTTATCTAAATTCTGTGCATTCATATTTTGCATAGCATATGTCCTACTTAATAGATTTTTAGTTATTTTTCAGTATGCGTCAAAAACTTACGCTTTTACGCTTTGATTCTACGTTTTACGATTTTATCCCTTTTCCGCTTCTAGGTAGAATCGCGCTTTTGACTGCATTGCCTGTCACGGTTTTCCATGATCGCTTGACATGATGGTATGGTTCATCAATCATGACTGGCACGACTCTCCAATAATTGATCGTACAATTTGTGTCGGCTATGCATGTTATGGTTTAAATCACTCACCTAGTGAGCTGTTACCAATAGAAAATTTTGGTTCAGCCTTAATTTTTCTATTGGTAAGGGGGCAATTGATGGACCCAGTATTCAACCGACATCATATAACACATTACTTTTAATCGGGAATCAATTAGCCACACCAAAAATGCGCAAAATACACCTATTTGCTTCTCCTTTGCAAGTAGAGCTACTAGCAAATACCAATGGTGTAGCATAGTTTGTTTTCTCTATATATGCATAAAGCATAACACCAAATCCACTTCCCCATGTTAAACCCACGTGGAGGGACTCTTTCTCCTCCATTAATTAATGACTCACCATGCCTAGACTAAGCCTACCCTATTATCCTCCCCTCCACCCCACCAAACCATCATCTCCTCTAAATCCACGTATGACAAAGTTGGCAAGGTGGCAAATAATCCACCCCCATGCTTTACCCCATGCATGAGCAATAACCTATCATTTCCCCACCTCATGCCATCAATTACACGTAATAGCTAGCTAATTAGGCTTTACTTGATGGATGGAGAATTTACCCCAACATGAAATATATTGACAACAAATCTCCCACCTCCAAATTACACGTGGATAACTATCCACCCATGAACCATTTCACTAACCAAATCTCCACCAATTTCATTACATGCTTACCATCCATGCGTACATACAATGTCAATTACACGTGTATGCATGAGTTGATAATTAACTAAGTAATTTCCACCAATCAATACTTTAATTCCACTCCATCCAACTCCATACTTCTACACGTGTAAACCAATGTGAGCTTGGGCATTTTTCTTGTGCTGGTAGCCATGATATGCATACAGGCATGTACCCACGTCCGAGTCAATTTCCCAAAACCGTCAATTAATTTGTTAATCAATTTGTTTATTTATGATTAATAAAAGGACACGCCACCCATGCCAGGAGCATGAGGCACCTATAAATAGGACGCTCATTTATACTTTCTCAACAGTTCATTTTCGGAAAAAACTCTGAATCTCTCTCTAAAAAGCCGGCTTACTATGCCGCTCCCGGTTACTCTCCTCTCAATACTGACTTGAGCTTCGGAGAAGGTCCCCGCCGACCACCGGCCGGCGGGTTCCTTTTTTGCAGGCGTTCATCTCGAGAGCTGGAATTCAACGGCAACCAAAAGGTCAACGCTCTGCGGACTCTACAAGACGTTGGCCAGGAGGAAGATCGGCGCTCACCGGACCTCAATCACATTGAAGCAGGCTCCTCGGAGCTTGACATCAACAACACCAAAGTAAACAATTTGGCCAAATCAGACTTTTGACCGTTAACTTCGACGGTCAAACGCATTGACCGTTAGTCAACGCGCCATGTCACCGCCAACTCAGCAATAAAAAAAAAATTAATTTCCACCTAGCCCATTTAATTTCCACCTAGGTCTTTTCTCAATTTGAAGACGGAAAAAAAAAACCAAAACGATGCGAATTGCCCCTAATTGCCTTGAAGCAAATCCAGTCATGTCTTCAATTCTCAGTCCGCCCTAACGCTCCACTCCCCGCCGCGCTCTCTTTCTCTCTCTCAATCTCTCTTCTCGTCGGCGCAGTCGTCTCCGCCCCCGTACCAATCTCTCTCTATCTCTCTCCAGCTATGAACTCCGACGAGCCTCGTGTTGCTCATCCCGCTCCCGATTCCGAACCCCTAAAAAAACCATCCGGATCGGCCCACAACCCAGCGCCGGCAAATCTCCCGACCACCCAAACCCCCGAGAAGCAACCCGCCTCGCTCTCTCGCCGCACCCGAACCCTCGACGCCGGTAACCTCCATCGCCGCTCTACATACACTGCCGCGGGAGACTCCAACACCAAATCCGCCATAAGACACCTCTCCTCGTCTTGGGATGAAGATACGGACGCTGCCGAGATATCAACTCCGATCCCCCAAATGTAAAAACACCCTAGCTTCTCCTTTTTGCTTGAAATTAGGGTTTTTCCCCGTTAATTAGGATTTTGCCAATCAATTTCTTTTTGATTTCCCAGTAGGCAAGAGGCTCTCCTGGAATGTTTCACCAGCTTGGTCACTTCAATCCGGTTGTTGGGCTTGAAGGGCGCGCACCCTTCTTTCACCATCCAGTTCTCCGCCTGCGCTGCATTTTTCAGTCGGTGAAGTGAGGAGATTCGACGATGAAGGAAGGAGAAGGTGAGGTGAGGTGAGGTCGGCGGGTGATTTCTGTGGATGGGGATGGGAGCGATATGGATAAGGTAGGGTTAGGGCAATTCGCATCGTTTTGGTTTTTTTTTTTTTTCGTCTTCAAATTGAGAAAAGACCTAGGTGGAAATTAAATGGGCTAGGTGGAAATCAATTTTTTTTTTATTGCTGAGTTGGCGGTGAGATGGCGCGTTGACTAACGGTCAACGCGTTTGACCGTCGAAGTTAACGGTCAAAAGTCTGATTTGGCCAAATTGTTTACTTTGGTGTATAGTTCGGGCCAGAATGTTATAGATCGAAAAGATTGGCCAGGATGTTTACTTTGATCAAAGTTAAGGCCATACGAAAATATTAACCCCTAATAAAAGCATTAGTCACGTGAGCATATACATTAGTCACGTGAGCATATACGACATTTTAGGAAATACAAATACTCAAATTAACTGAACGAAAGAAGAATAAATTTTGATTGAACGAAACAGTGCCCCGCCCATTAATTAAACTGGAAACATAAGAGAAAAACATCTTCATCCAAAATTCTAATAACGCGTCCCATCCATCAGAACCGAACCAGATATCTCTAAGACTTGGGGCCAAAACAATAAAGGACGTAAGCTTCTCATACAACCAAACCTCAGCAATCCTCATCCACTTCTTATTTATCAAGCAAGGACGCAAGACCGGAGATTGAGTAGAGACTAACTTAGTCACCAAACCAAAATCCAGCAATTACTTCTCTACATTCACTTCACAGGGAAGACAACGAACCGAACCCTTTTTACATGAAGCTTTTAAAGCGCTTCCCACTAGGCTACTTGCTAGATGTAGCGTCAGGACCATCTCTGTTATCTTCTTCTTCCCACTAGGCTACAAGCCAAAGTGCCAAACTACACATTCCAACAGTCCGCCAAAAGATGAAGGCGAACCACAGTTCCCTAATAAACAGATCACAGTGACATGAACAGCCTACATTAATTAGTACAAATCTAACAGCCTACATCCATTATGAGTTTTGAGGAGACAATCTAGTATCTGCTTCCTACATTCCCATCCATGTTCACAGACTGCAAAAAAGCATGGACTGCGCGCATATGGGCAAGAGAAGAAAACTAATTAATTAATTGATTAAATAACTATCAAAGTGAAAGACATTGTACTCTGTCAGGGATATTCCTAGGGAAGGGAAGCGCAGTAACATATCTTTGAAGAAAGGCCTTCTGTGCATTAGAAGCGCCGCCCGAGGATGAAGTGTCTACTGCTCCACCTGCTGTTTGACCTGGACCATGGAACTTAGCAAACCGATTGATGACAGAGAACTTCTCTAAATCTTCACATTCTACTCTCAAGTCTAACACAGACATGCTCCTATCCAATCTGTTGCCACAAGAAAGAAAACCACAAGATGTCAGGCATAAACGCTCGGTTTCACCCACACTGTACCACTCCACCAGCACAGAAATGGAGAACTGAGAACTCAAGACAACTGGATCAATGACTACTAGTACGACCTAAGGGCTAAGATACAAGGATGACCATGTTAAACATCCCGAAATTGCAGACACTAAAATGACTACTAAATTCAAAATGTGATAATCCACGAGCAAGTGGGCACCCCTCTCCTCACTGCAACTCCAACAAAAACAGACAAGGTAACCAGCAACCTAGTTCAAACAAGACAGCTGCTAAATAACATCCTCCAGGGTCACTAGCTTTGAGAGGATCGATCCCAAAGAACTGGGGCAAAAGAGACGGACCATATCAAGAAAAGGAAAGAGAAGGTAAGCTTAAAATCACATTCTAGCACACTACGACACGAGAGCCCATAATCACATTTTAGCAGACCACACACTACGTAAGGCATCAGTTCAAGCAACCAAAGGACTGAGGAGAACAACAAAATACCTCAGCAAGTCACTTTCCACCTTTATTGTTCTCTCGATGAGATCTTCCATAACTTTCGAGAAGTATTGATCACTTTTAGTTTTAGAGATTCTGAGCCTCTCAGGTATTCTAAAGAAAGAAAAGCAACAGATTGATTAGATGCGAACGGAATGGAATGCACTGTTCAGGTAAAAGAATTCTTATGCACAAGAAACAGAGACAACCACCAAATTTGTAATCTAATTCAATGGGCATCCTTACATGTTGCCACTTTTGGAAGGTGGGGAAGCGTGACTGGCGGAGCCATTGACCGAACAACATACATCTCCCAGTGTCAACCGAGCAACACAATGAGCAGCACTATCATATTGAGAAGTTGCATGAGCAGACATAACCCACGATGGAGGAGGATGAAGCAGTATCTGCATAAGCTGTGTCGTCAACATCAATCTTTTCTTTGATTTTATGGCTGGCGGCCCATCATATACGATTTCACCATCATCTTCCACCTGTCATCAGAAATTACAGCATTATCATCACCGCTTTCAAAATAAACTGGATAAGACAACAAAATAATTCCAAAAGGGATTACTTATGTAAAGCTCATTATTGTTCAACAAACCTTTTCAGTCAGACGGTGAACTGCCTTTGCCCATTCCACTTCTGCCAAACTGCAAGCAACAAACTATGCATATGTCAAAATAAAATAACCGAGTATAGGAAGGGGGAAGACAATATGAATAAGCAATATGCAAAAACCCGCAAGCAGAAAGTAATTCTCAAAAAAGAGTTAACCAAAGCAGCGGACAAGAATGAAATCATTAGCACCTCATATTCGGAAGCCTATGCGGAATCTTTATCACTTCCTTATGCCATGGAACAAGATCACATGTGACACTCTTGCGCTTCTTTGGTCTTACCACAAACAAACTCATACCAACAGAGTCAGGCCGTGACAGTTGAGGAAAAGAAAACTCCTCACTAATTAGTGGCGTAGAACTTATCCTAACTAGGCCATGCTGATTTGCATCATCGCTAGTGGTTCTTGCAGCCTCTAATGGACCTGGAATAGGCAGTCTATTAGAAGACCTGCCACCACTTAGAGCTAATTCTGCATGCTTCATGGCAGTAACTTTTCTAGCATCATATGTGGATAAAACCTGTCCATTCTTGAAGGTGCCATACTGATTAAACCATGATGGAGCCATCTGGGGACTGATCTGAGAAAGGTCACCTTTACCAGTAACCCCATCATTGCTGTCCGCAAAATTTCTAGAACTGTTCCCACCAAACTCATGCATGTCCTGAGAAGGAAGATTCGGCCCATGCACGTCTGTTTGTCTCCCAGAAAAGCCAACTGCTTTTGGATCATCAGGAGAACTAGAAGCATTGTTTAGTAATGCACCTCTGGCAGTGTTAGCGTGTCCAAACAACTGCTGCCCACCCTCAGAAGCAGCTAACTGAGGATCAACACTACCATCAGATCCTTTCGGTCTCTTCAAACTCCTACCACTTTGATCTACCTCCCTATTCTTCACATCCTGCACTTGATGCAGCAATGAGTAATTTTGACTCAACGAAGCATTGGGCCTCAAAGAGCGTCCAAAAGCTGCAATATCCATTTCAGTGCTTACGGTGCTTGAAGCATACAAGTTTCCAGATGACTCGAACACTCCCTCTGACTTCTCCATACTGAGCGAACGGCTTTCCGTGATCTCACGTCCCTTATGGTTCATTACTGGATCAGCATGTTTCCAGACATCAAGATTGTTTCCTAGTTGAGGAACATCTCGGCTGCTATGTTGGTTGAGCATCATACTGCTGAAACCCGGAGTACTATTCCGGCTAGAATCCTCTGTGTTGACTGGAGGGCTACCAGTACTAGATTGTGTGGAGATTGTCCCAACAGCTGAGTTGGAAACAGGGTCAGGTCTCCAAATGTTCTTTCCTATCGAGCTCTTTAAATCATTTGTAGCGGGAGCTTGCAAAGGATTTTGTTTCCCTTGACTCTTCAAAGCTGAGCCTGTATTTGATGATGCTGAATCAATGAAGTTCCAACCATTTTGTCTAATGAATGATTGGCCAATTGGATTGTGCAGGGGGGAGCCTGCCTGATTGGCCCAGGGATGGGAAATGTTCTTTGCACTCGAATCCACAACGGGAGAATAAACAACCTTTTCATGATTATGGCTCACTTCAACAGCAGCCTTTTGTTGATGGCTCCCATCAAGCCATTTGGTATTACTTTTTACAAACTGCTGAGAAAATTTCCGAAAAGAATCCATCTGTGACTTTTCACTCACATCGTGTGGAGAGCTCACCCCAGAACGATTAACTCTATGCATTTCATTACTATTTATACCTGTATTATCATCTGATTGATGGAAGGGATTATTCAAGGTCAAGCCAGTTTGGAAGCTGTTACCTGCCCAAGCTGTTTGTTGTTTTCCAGAACCATTTACAGTCCGGATCAGACGATTTCCATTTTGAGGTTCTGTACACTGGCTACCCGGACCACTCCATTCCTCTTGTGTGCTAACATCCACACTAGAAGCTTCTGCTACGGCTGACTGCATAAGAGCACTCCAAGTTCCACTTTGTAAAAATGACAAAGCACCACCCGGTGCCTCCGTACTCTCCGTATTCAAACATCCAGAACCCACATGATCACTGTTTCCAAAAGCATCCCACAAATTATCATCAGACCCATACAAAATCCTCTCTTCGGTTGGATCTAGTGTTGTGGCATTCTGAGAAGACACAGCCTGACCAACAGTCTTCTCCTGTGATGGTATTGATGGAGCTTCTCCATCTTGCCTCCCAAGGAATTCCTGGGTTGGCACACTACTTTGCCAGGAATTCACTTGCTGGAGACATTCTAAATTAACTCCACTGTCCACGCCTTGAGTATCTACTCTTCCAACCACATTTCCCCCCTGAAATCCTTGCCTCAATCCCGAAGGTCCTTCTTGATCATTCACCTTGTTTGATGAAACTGTATACTGATTAGCTATAAGGGAATTATTATTGCTAGACATCTGCTGGGGAGGGGCTTTGTCCATTTGGATGGGTGAAAAATGACTTGAAGTAACTCTTGTTCCAGAGATGGGGACGCCATAAAGAGATTGATCAACCTTCTGCGGAACCACACCCATCAAGTGAAGTGCTTGGTTTTGTTCCAACGAAAATCCAAGCCCGCTAGATGAGCCTCGCATGTCTGGAGACATACTATGCTGTTGCCAGTTTGTGTTAGCCGCAATAACCTCAGGCTGCAATAAATAACCAGATGCATCCTGTACAGGAATTCCATTGATCATAGATTGGGACTGACTAACAAGCGCATGTTTTCCGAGAGAGGACACGTGATTCAAAATATTAAGTTGCCTAGTTGATTCCTGTTGCTGCAGTTGTTGATGATGCTGTCGCTGTCTCTGAAATTCTTGCATTTGCTTGAGTATCAATTGTTGCTGCAGCAGCTGCATATCCCCGATCCCCAAAGGTTGCCTATGAAGAGATTGCAGAATTCCTGGATGCTGGGGACTCATCTGATGCTGACCCCCAAAAGAGTCAAAATTAACTGGAGATTCAGTAGAGTCCATCCTAACTAAATTTCGTTTGTGAAAGTCAGGGCAGTTTCCTTGATGGGAATCAAATGCGGAAAAACCCTTTGGTGTTAAATTATGCCGATCAGATTCTGTATCCATTCCCAAAAAGTTTGTCTCATTCTGCCTCATCTGGAAACCCTGATGACCCTGAAAGTAACCATTTATAGTTGGTTGCTGATCTTGTGATTGACTTCTAGCAGGCTCTGTTCTTTCAATTGATTGTTGAAAGCTCAAATCATGCTGCACAGGTGATGACTGACCACCATATCCTCTCTCATAATCAGCCACTGGGAATACAAAAAGAGATTATCAGGAGATGCAATTAAACCAACTTTCCGTACTCCAATCATAAGTTTGTTAGGATTCCAATTACTTAATGAAATAGAATTTTCTTTAAGTGGTCCAACCAGTGAGATGGAAAATACTTCTGTAGGATCTGAAAGGACCTCACCAACAAGTAAAAGAACTGCACAAGGGCAAGGAGTTGATACCTGATTGCTGTAAACTGCGATTTATTAAATCAGATATGAAGGGTGTGGCAATCTGTCCCTGACTTCCAGCCCACGGATTCCCACTCATCCCAGGCCAGGCTGCATCAGCAATTTGCGAGTGTTGTGGGACCGGAGAAGAAGTCTCCTGACCAAAGAAATTGTGGATCCTATCTCCAACTTCGTTGCCAGGCATAGATAATTCCCCTCACAAGTTCTCAGTAGGTTAGTTATTGACTGAACAAGCTATTTAACACCTGAAATAAAATAAAAAAATTATTATATTCTTCAAAATGTCATCGTAGAGGAGTAAGCATGAAAATTACGCAGTATACAAACTCTATTGGGTTCACGTGAATGTCATCCAGCTATAATGACCCCAATACTTCTCCTCGGTCTGCATTTAAGACATGAAAATAGAAGCTATAAGAACACCTGATGAATATTTCATCAAATATTTACTTTTCAGCACAGTGACAATAAACACATGACAGGAAAAAAATAAAGTTTCTCAATAGTAAACTGTTTAATTCACTAGCTAAAATGACCAAACTCTCTGCACAAGTGCAGCAAGGATATAGAAATAAGATTAAAATGTTGTGATGACGAGAATTGTTGAAGCACAAAGGGTGGTTTACAGTATTTATTAAAAAAATACAAGCCTAGTATTACAGGTACAAACAATTGCTGCAATTAGAAATTAGTTTCTAACTAACAAATTGGGCTCAAATGAATTGTAAACTAAATTATGAGGGACGCACTATTCCAACTAAGTCATTTCCTTTTTACCCATCTTGGCAAGTGATAAATGATAGTCTAACACCATGTGCTAGATTTCTAGTGGAAATTAAAACATATGAACTAAATATGTCAACGAATCAGTGACTTGACTGGAAAGCACGTTCCAAATCAACAAAGATCACTGAATGAAGAATTCAGCTTTAAATTCCAACTTCGCTGTCAAATAGCAAAATCATTTATCCACCAATATTCAACAATGTCTCTCCACCTTCACATATCAGGCTCTACAAATGAGCATCCCATGAATAGAGCAAAGAAAATTTTAATCGTCGATATGACTGGGAATTGTGACCAACATACTCAACTATTTCATAATTCACCTCATTTAACTACACAAGACGAAGTTCTTATGGACCCGTTGGCCATGGAGAAATACACCTAAAGGTCAACCTTATTTCCAAGACATACTAAGAGCTTGACATTATTGCTTCCTAGATCCTCTGTAATACACATAATTGGCTCCATTCATGTACAGAATTTCAAAGGGAATATTCATAAACAATGAAGCTTCAGAGCAAAAATAACATTGAACAATCTCTATGCTATTTGTTGTCATGTGTCACCATCACACCTAGGTGACTTTCTACATCTTACATGGAATAAAGCAAGCGACAATCACTGCATCAGAATATCCATCTTGGTTCCTACAGAGGTCTACCAACTCTTTTAGGTAACGAAGCAAATATAATCATATCAGACATCCAAGGGGAGGCTTTCCAGACCCGTGAAAAGTTTACGCCAACTCTCACTAACCAAAACAGAAACCATCATGGTCACTGGCAAATAACTTATCATCATACATTCGAGCACCGGAATGGAATTAGTCAACCAACGATTTCTACCATGCAGTACCAATTGAAGTTTTCCCCAAAGCTCTCAACTATTAAAACTCAACGCATATTCAAGATCAAGTAGGCAAAAACAATCTATGAAAGTTAGATGATATCAGATTTGAGGATCATTAAGGCGCAATCGAACTTATGCACGTGACCTTTTTAGAGCAATTAATGCAACAAACCAGCCAATGAATTCCAAATACAACCCCGGGTTCAAACACCACTATGCATCAACCAGGAAAAATTCTGTGAAAGCAGCTTCCTCTTCCTAGTTGCCGCGAAAATGCAGGTATGTGGGAGGGAAATCCAACAAACGAAGTCCAATTTTGTCTCAATTAAGAACAAAGCAGCGAGAACTGATCTCTAAATCCCAGTGGAACAGAGAGAAGCGAAGTAACGGAAGACAAAATTCACGTTTCCCTAAGTTCCCTAAGCATTAAAACCTACAGCGGAAAGCCATATTCCAAATCCAGCATTCATTACCACTTGACCAAAAACGATCGAGAAACGAACTCTCAAATTCCCACCCGAAACCAGCCTCCCACGAGAAGCACAAAAGCACAAAACAACAGAATAAGTTGCTAGAAAGCTGCCCCGTCGAAAGCACGATGTCGATTTAGTTCGGCTCAGGTAACATAGTTGACAACTATGAGCAGAAGGTTAGGGTTTCAACCCAGTGAGAACTTAAAGGGAGAAGAGAAAAAGCTTTGTTGAACTCACAGTTCGTGTACAGGCCACCATTTCCGAGCTGGAAACCGATCCTCGGAGACAAAGAATTCGCGCAAATTTTAGGGTTTAAACCAATGGCAACGCGGAGGTATCAGGAAATGAGGCGTCTCAGAGCTGAGCGAGAGACCGAAAGAGAGAGGGGAGATAAAGCGATCGAAAAAGTGGTTGAATGGTTGGAGGTGGACCCCACGCGTTGGTTTGGACGGTAGGAGTATGGGTGGGCATTTGGTAGGTTCGGTTTCCCGAACCCGAACAAAACCAAACCCAAAATACCCTCTTGTTCCCAGGCGAACTTCACCCGAAGTAGGTATGGGCCGGTTTGTCCCGAATTGAAATTGTTCGGGTTTGGTTTGGGTTTGATTGGCGTCGCTTGCCACAACCAACATTATCGACCGATCGTCGGATCTAGAGGCTGAAAGATGATCGACATAGCTAGATTGCAAAGAAGATTGAGAGAGAGAGCGGGTGGAGGTGCATGCATGGCTAAATATGAAAGGATCCTCCGACAAGGGGAAGAGAGGAGGAGGGATGGTGGCGACTGCAACGGAGTACCGTCGCGAGGAGTAGAGGTAGGAGGATGTGGTTGGCACATCGACGATGGAGGACTGCCAAGTGTCGTTGTGTTTCAATCTGGACTCAGCGATGAGGAGGTGAAGGGTGGGGTGACGGCGAGATATATAGATGGAAGGAGGTTAAAATCAATTCGCCGAGATGGAAGGAAAGGAAGGGGGAGGAGGCAAGATTTCTCTGGCCAAAATTTCAAAAGACGAGAAGAGATGGACGAAAGTAAGCAAAGCTGGGGGAGGTGGTGAGATTGAAGGAAAGAAAGGCGGAGGGGGCGAAATGGAAGGGAACATAGAAGGATTAGGGATGCAATTAATTGCATCGTAATGTTAGAGGGAGAGGAAGGTGGGTCGGGTAAAGAAAGAGGTCGGTTGGGCTTCGTGTGGAGAGTGAGCCCAATCACGAGGCTGTGTGAGTGAGAGTGGGTAGTGTGGGAAACGATAGTTTGGTCGGTTCATTCTGAACCGAACGTCGATAAACAGCCTCCTGAGTGTCGAAGTTCAAATAAAATAAGTGGTAATTTGGGTTTGGTTTAGTTTGAACACGGTTTGGTCCAGTTTGGTTTCGGTTTACCGAACTGTATGCCCACCCCTAGGTAGGAGTCTTGCGAATGTCTAGATCAACGATTGGATCAGTAGAACCTTCAAACCAGTTACGATAGTGGTCCAGTCTTTGTTTGGACGGTCATTGATGGACCAAACGAGTTTTCACGGTTTAATTGGTCAACTGGTTCACTATTTTAACTAGAAAATTATATTTTAAAAAAAATACTGTAATGTAAACTAATACCATCAAACCAGAATTATTACTTTTGTCTCTGCTTGCTCTTCGCATTTTACAACATTGTTGTCGACTTACGGGATCCACTGTCGACTGACAACGTAATTTTTCACTTGAATTAAGGAAATTATGATTCTATTGTGAGACGGTTTGAATGATTTGTTAGATATTTTGGTGATGATATGAATTTGAAATAGTTTATGATAAGTGATAACTTCATTCTTAAATTAATATATTATAAAAGTCGTGGTGTATGTTATATATCATGAACGGTACTATCAACGATTTTGTAACGTTTATCTGTGAACCCTAAACCATTAAATTTTCTAGTTCTGCGTCCGCTCCAGTTATGAAAACGGAGGAAAAAACATTGACATAAATTTTTTGGTATGGTATGATTAGAGCTGAGAATATAGAGGATACCATTTGAAAACTATAGACATAAATTTCTTTGTTTGGTCTAGTCTAGTCAAGACTTTGGTTTACCAGACTAGACCGTGGATCTCTGTCCACTTCCTAACTCTTGTTGGTAGCTCACTTGATCACTCTCCCTACTCTTCAAAGAGACTCAAGTCTCAACTCTAATTTTGTGAATCATGTCTCCTCCCTCATTCATAAACAACAATTTGTCACATAGAGAAATCATGTCTCCATATGATATTGATGGACCTCCTACTATGCTTTGAAGTTACTATAACTTGACCCTTTTGACCTGCTATAGCAGGTTTTATAGGTCGCATTACATAAAATTAATGTTTATTACGCAACAATTACGTAATGCTTGTTAGTCTTACGTAACAGTTAAACTAGAAGCATAATGGAAGGTTTCCGTAATAACTTATCATTTTACATAACGCTAGGTTAATATTCATTACGTAAAAGCATCGTCTATTACATAAGGCTTCCGTAATGACATTTTACAAGTGTTACATAAAATACACGCTCATTACGTAAAGGTTACGTAACGAAGGTTATTTCTTACGTAACAGTTAAATTAGAAGTGTTACGTAAGACTTCCGTAATAACTTACCACATTACGTAACTTGATTAATATTCATTATGTAAAAGGACCATCCATTACGTAAGGCTTCCGTAATGCTACTTTACAACTATTACGTAAAGTATGCATCTATTATGTAAAGGTTACGTAACGATAGTTATTTCTTGCGTAACAATTAAATTAGAAGCGTTATGTAAGTCTTCCGTAATGATGTAACAGATTACGTATTCATTATGTAAATTGAGTGTATATTACGTAAGGTTTCCGTAATGACATTTTTCAACTATTACGTAAGATAAACACGCATTACGTAACCATTACGTTATGCCTATTGTATTTTACGTAATGCGACTTGTGAAACCTGTTATAGCAGGTCAAAAACATCAAGTTATAATAACTTCAAGGTATTATAAGAATTTCCTATGATATATATTATGTTAATGTTTATGATGTTATTATGCAAGTTAGGTTGCTCTGACTTTGTGTCTTTATTATTTACTTGGATTTATGGTATCAAAATTGTGCCCGTGCGTTGAAATTTATGTTTGAAGAGAAAAAATAAATTATTTCTTAGTTATTGGTTTGATTTTTTGTGTGGTTGACTAAACCAACTTTTCATTTTTTGCTCAATGTGGTCTGCATGGTCCAGACCGTACCGAACCAGATCACACAAGCGCGGTCTGGTCTGGACCATGACAATTTGGTCTGGTCCTTGGTCTATGCTCCAGCTTTTTGGTCTGGACCATAGATAAACCATATGTAAGGTCTGGTCTAAACCAGACCGCATCGTTTCTCATCCCTACGTTTAATGGGTTGGATTCACATCATCGGACTATAAGCCCACTTGGTAATTCTCAATGAGCACCGCTAAGCTTATACTACGGCTAATGGAAAAAATAATCATTTACCTTCGATGTCATTTACATTTAAATTATTTGCCGAAGCAGGTAATCTTGGCACCGGGATTGAAAGTTGGACGAAATATGGCGAAAATGGAGCAAAATTGCTGAAAGTGCTGAGGTCGCCAGTTGCGGAGCAATTGTCACAGGCGCAAATCCTGATGTCAACACTCCAACCGTGAAGTTTGTAAGGTTCTGGGAGGATTTGTATGGCTCGCGGGCAGTGTCAAGATCACATTCTCCATACCGTGATGTTAACAAGCGGCCCGTGAAGTTCGTTAGTGAAACGACGTGTTTTGCTCCGAGATCACGGTTTCACTGTCGACTTCACGAGCGTGATGTGCGAGCGTGAGTTGTGCAGTCAAAATCTATAAATTGGAGGGTTAGCTGAATTCGAAAGGAGGAAATCCTAGAAAGAGATTGGAGCTTCTTCTTAAAGGTTGAGAGAGAGAGAGAGAGAGAGAGAGAGAGCTACGAGCTAAGGAAGAAGGAAGAAGGAAGGAGAATTTCACCTACCTAAGGCGAGAGGAAGGTTGATTTCTTCTTCAAAGGTTGAATCAAGCATCTAAGAAGAAGGAAGATCATCTTGCTATGAGTTTTTCTTCTCTCTTATTTGTATTTACTCCTTTAGCTATGAAGTAGTCTCCAATTTCACTTAGATGTTGTGAACCCTAGTTTAGAATGTGTTAGATTGTAGGAATTGAACTCTATGTGTATTGAATATGTGATTAATATAATGATTGAGGTATTATTTATGGAATTTGGGTGTTGATTGATCATATATCAATTTGGGACAAGTTGACCTAGAAGGAGGAAATCCCCTTATAGCCTAATCTTGGCAATTTGGATAATCTTCTCTATGGCAATTAGGGTCATCCCTCGATCATCGAAGAGTGCCATGATTTCGACTTGATTGATTACTTTTTGATTTTTCAGTTTAATTTTTGAGGGAGTGTTTTTTAAAACATTGGTCGATCAATTAAGAGGCTTAATTAGGAAATCCTAACTAATTGTGACAATCCTTAATCGATCAATTGAGAGGTTTGGGGTTTCCCAAGCTAATTGTGACCTCCTCACGTTATATGATCCTACTTATCACACTAGAGTTCAATTCGTTTTATCTTGACACGAGAATAGGGGGAACAATATCCGAGTGATTCTTTCTCAATCGAACTCACCAAAGTTTATTTGCTTGCTTGATTAATTTGTTTAGTTTCATTATTTCGAACCACCATCCAATTGCTAGATAACGAGTGAACAATTGAAGTAAGGGTATATAGACCACTCGGGTTGATATTGAAATACTTATCCTATCCTACACCCGTATATAGGTTGAACTTGGCCTATAGTTTGGATTAAGTGTAGTGGGAGCCAAGTCACCATGTTCTATAAAGAAAATGTGGCACAAAGTTTTTTTTCCTGAAAATAGAATAAAATGTAAATAAAACATCAATTAACAAAAAATTATTATTACAATATTATTTAAAAAATAAAATCTTTCTAATATTAATTTAATAAAGAGATATAAGTATTTAAATAGAAAGATGCAATAAAAAACCAATAACATGAGAGATTGAATCAAATAAAATTAAAACAAAAGAATCAAATAGTAACTAAATTGACAATTAATCAATTGACTAGACTAACCTGAATATATGATGAAAACTTAATTGAGTTGAAGAGGAGAACAATTTTAGAATAATCGAAGAGTATAACCAAATAATATAGAAAAATGAATATTTTTTTGCGTTGTTTGTAGGAGAAAAAAAATATTAGATAGAAGATACTGATAATTTTTTAGTATAAAGTTAAGTATGACAAAACTTATTTATAATTGATTTACTTCATTTCTTCTTTTTCTTTTTTGCTATTGTTGGTTTGTGCCTTACTGTGGAATGTGGATAACGTTAATAACAAATCAATGCAGATGATTTAATTATTTAAGCATTGTTGTCTTGCTGTGTATATGCAGATTAATTGACGGAATTGAATTTATTTTCTCCTTGGAAGCTGAAAATGAAGAAAGCTAAATCAACAGATGATGATAATACTAATAATAAGGAGAGACCATCAATCTCAATTCTCTTATCATTTCTAGAAAAAAAACAACTAACAATGAACTCTGTTATATGGCTTGAAAAAAGTATAATAAGAAAGAAAGTCTTTCCCCTTATATGATCAATTCGGTCTTTTATCATTTGGTTATGATTATTGTTATTATTTTAGACACATAATTAAAATCCAATATATGAATTTTCTACTGCTTGAAATTCACAATCAAAATTAATATTATATAATTGTAATTAGCCCTATTAGTAATAGAGACCCAAAAGACTCCCTATAATTTGGAGACTCTTTGCTGGACGACCTCCCATCATACAAGGACGAACCTTGGACTTAACCTAAAATCTTGTATATTCTGTAGTAACTTTCAAAAAGATAAAATTTATAGTGAAACAAGCTGAGGAATCAAGTTGAAGTCGGTGCGCAGAGGTGACACGTATATTTGACATTCACAACTGTATGTTAAATCTTAGTCCGTTGACACCGTGAAAGGCTAGAATGCTAACTTCTTTGAGGTTAGCACCATATTAACTCCTTTAATCACCGTACATTATGTATAAGTTTAATAATATGATAGTGAGTAGTGAATGGCTTGTTGGGTATTTCAAAAAATTAAATTAAATCAAAATGTTAAAATAGCTCTATTCTATGTTTGGTAACTAGTAGTGGTTTTGGTAGTTATAGTAGGCATTTTAAAATTTCTTGTACTTAATTAATTTTTATTAGTGTTAATATTTTTGTATGGCCTGAACTTTGACCAAAATAAACATCATGGCCAATCTTTTCCATCTATAACATCCTGGCCCGAACTATACATCAAAATAAACAATTTGGCCAGATCCGAATTTTGACTATTAACTTGGACGGTCAAACGCGTTGACTAACGGTCAATGTGCCATGTCACTGCCAACTCAGCAAATTTCAATTTTTTTTTAATTTACACCTATTTCCATTTTCTTTCCTTTATCATTTTGAACGAAAAAAAAAATTCAATTCAAAATGATAATTTGTTTTATTTTTTGTACCGAAATTGAAAAGGAAAGAAACGATCATTTTTAAATTAAAAAAAATGTTTTAAAAACTGATAATAAAAAATTTTGCCCCGAAATTGAATTTTTTTTTCGTTCAAAATGGTAAAGGAAAGAAAATGGAAATAGGTGTAAATTAAAAAAAATTAATTGAAATTTGCTGAGTTGGTAGTGACATGGCGCGTTTGACCGTCCAAGTTAACTGTCAAAAGTCGGATCTGGCCAAATTGTTTATTTTGAGGTATAGTTCGGGCCAGAATGTTACAGATCGAGATTGGCCAGGATGTTTATTTTGGTCAAAATTCAGGCCATACAAAAATATTAACCTTTTTATTAATAGTGGTTTTGCAACTATAGTGATTGTGGAATTTATGAAATAAATGCTACTAAAAATGAAAATTAAATATGACAAATAAGCAAATCACTACTATTAGGTAAGAAAAAATTACTATTCAAAATATCTACTCGGTACTAATACAAGCAAATACCTACTACACATTCATTACTACAAGCAATAACCCAAGCACAACACTACTACAGAAATGTTACATAATTATTCCATCGCAACTCTTTAGTCGTCGGATCAACCATGCCAGATCCATCGAGGATTCGTCGTCCCAAAATTGCTCCATCACAAAACCCAGATCCCTCCCTCGTCACCTACCTCCTCCATCGCCGTTTGACACCCTCACCACCTGCCTCCTCCATCATCATCATCATCGACCCCCGCGATCATGCTCCATAGGAGGAGAAAGAGAGTATCCATCTGAACCTTCCTCCGTCGAGGCGATCACCATCGTTGCCCACGCTGCCTGCCTCCTCCATTGCCATCGACAATTCATGACCATGTCGCCATTGAAGGAGAAAGAGATTCTCCAGATCAAACACTTCCACCGTCGACTTCATTGCCCTCGCTGCCTGCCTCTTCAATTGTCATTGATGCACTTGCCACCGCTGGCCACCTTCATCGCTATCGATGACCTGTGACCAAGCCGCCTTTAGGGGAGAAAATAGAGAATACTGGTTGGGTACTTGGGAGGGTTATTAAAAGGTGAAAGGGAGGAGACCTTTTCAGATAGAGGCGGCACAAAAAAAAAAAATATACGAGGGTTTGAGATTTACTTTATAATAAGCCTATTTCATTAAAGGAGAAAGGGATTACAACTCAGGCAGAGCATCTACCTCAAGGAAAGAAGCAAAAAGGCAGAGAATAGAGTGTCCATTCCTCATAAACATTCCAAACATGAGCCCAATGGGCCAAGAAGTGAGCCACGATAGGAGTTTTACGATTAGAGAAGTTCAAAAAAAACCCCCCTATCCGATAGCTTGCTTGAGTTGCGACAAGGTCCTGAATTGCGTTGCATCTTCCTTGCAGTTCGGTGAAATCTTTCTCTCTATTCTTTAGTTTCTAGATCAGGGTCAAGCAATTATACTCAATGTTCAAGGGTCCCATCTGATTCTGAATAGCAGCTCTCAAACCCATTTCAATCGCAAGAGCTTCTACTTCGATGGGTCTTAGAATTCCCTTCATCTTCATGGAGAATGCCACTATGCCAGGCAAAAACCCCCCTGATGATCGGGGATAATTCTCCCAATACCCACTCCATCAGGATTCAGGCATCCCGCATCCCGTTGGGGGACGTTTCCAGTGATGTTGCTGATCATATCCAATATGAAGATGTTGAGCAGGTTCATTTTGCAAATTAATCTCCAGGTAATCAACTGGCCATTGTAAAGCTCTAGGGATAATATCTTTTTCATCCATCTTGATGTTGTTAAAATGGTGATTGTTCCTTTCTCTCCAAATGAACCAAAGTATTGCGCTAAAGCGTTGAACTATCTCAATTGGGAATCTTCTAACGACCTCATTGATACAGTCAACACAACACAACTCAACCCCACACTCGAAGCATTCAGTCTCCAGACTCGGTTTCCAAAGTTGCCTGGTCCATCCGCAATCATGTAGAATGTGTTCCTAGGTTTCCTTTAAGCCACAAAAAGGACATTCAGGTCCCACATCATCAATTCAATCCCCTAGATTGGCTTTTGTCGGTAAGATATTTCTGCAAATTTTCCATAACAAGAATTTGACTTTAGAGGGAACGTTCAGGTTCTAGATTTTTTCCCCATAGGCCAGAATTAGGAATCTATTACGATAGGCGACACCAACTAGTATCTTTGTTGTTTTCTCTTAGCAAGTTGTGTGGTGATTTAACTAAATATGCACCATTCTCAGTCCCCGTCCAGACCCATTCATCTTTTCATCACTCGCCATTTCCCACTCGCCATCGAAAACCTCTCCCTAACAGATCTTTAGCTTGGGTATTTCCCACTTTGGCTTGGAGGATATCACAGGAAGGGAAGTACTTAGCTTTTAGGGCCCCAGTAACCAAGGCCTTAGGTCTTCTCATAGGATTCCATAGCTGTCTTCCAAGTATAGCTGTGTTGAAGTCCCTTAGCTCTTTGAACCCGAGGCCTCTTGTGTCTTGATGTCACACAATGGCTCCCACTTGAGCAATTTCATTCTATTTTCATCACCTTTCTTACCCCAACAAAAATTTGCAATCACTTTCTCAATATCCTGCAAAAAACCATCAGGAATGTTGAAGATGTTCATATGATACACAACCTGTGTTTGGGCCTCAACCTTGATTAAGGTTTCTTTGTCTGTTGTCGATAGTGGAAAAATCTTCCAGTCTTTTAATTTCTTCCTCACTCTTTTCTTAAGGTCACCAAAAATAATATTTTTTGACCTGCCAACAATCGTAGGGAGTCCCAAATACTTCTGGTGCTTATCAACCTCTCTAATACCCTAAGTGCCACAAATTTCAAGTTTTTGACTGGGTTTAAGATTTCTACTGAAAGATAACTCTAATTAAGAGAGATAATTTGTTGCCATGATTCAGAAGGATAAATCATTAAGATCTATTTAAGCTTATCCGCCTCCCTTCATTTAGCTCTTCCAAAGATAACACTGTCATCAACGAAAAATAAATGGGAAATGATAGGGAATTTCCAACACACCTGAATTCCATGGAGATCCCCTCTACTTTCAGCCTGTTTAAGAAGCGTTGTCAGGCCTTCAACACAGAGGAGAAAGAGGTAAGGGGATATATGATTTTCTTGCCTAAGTCCTCTGGATGGAAGGAACTCCTGTGATCTATGGTCATTCACCTTCACAAAATAGCAAACAGAGGTAATACAGATCATAGTCGGATCCACCCACCTGTTGTGAAATGCCATCTTCTCCATGACCTTTTTTAGGAAATTTCACTCAACTCGGTCCTATGCTTTGGCCATATTGAGCTTTGCAGCGAAAAATTCTTTTTTCCCATTTGTTCTATTTTTCATTGCCTTGAAAACTCGAAAGCAGTTATAATGTTGTCCGTGATAAACCTTCCTGGAATGAAGGCACTATGAACATCAGAAATGATCTCATCGAGGATATCTACGAGGGTTTGAGATGAGTAAAATGAAGTACAAAGTATTAGCCAAACCTTTTTGATGTTTCAAAATATTAGCCAAACCTTTTGAAATATGAAGTATTAGCCAAACATTTGACAGTGATACTTAAGGGTGAACAAAAAGACCCGCAATTCGACTCACCCGTCCAACCCGACCCAACCCACCCGTATTTTTCGCAAAAGCTAAGGTTTAAAGTTAGATGAGGGTTTTTTATTTGGGCTCATTTGTACACTTTTTACCCCCGGTTTGCTTAGTCGTTTGAAGCATTTTTACTTTGGGAGGTTTGGTTTTACGCCAGGTTTTTCCTTGTTTTGGTGTTTTTCAGACTTTGGCAGGTGGAACCAACCCTGGAGTCGAAAGTTGGACAAAAGGGGGAAAAAATAAAGTCAAACGGTGGAAACAGCAGCAGATCACGGTTTGGGCTATGAGTTCACAGTCACTAAGACCGTGAACTGGAGGCGTTACCCGTGAACAACCAGGCATCCAGAGCACAAATTGCTTTCACTAGACACAAGTCAGTTCAAGCAAGGAATTGGGAATTCCTCCCCAAAGGAGGATCTCTTCAACACAAGGAGAAAGGCTAGCATCTCACTGATGGTTTTCCTACTTCTTTCTTGTCTTTTCCCCTTCTCCTAGCATGGAGTAGTCCCTTCTTTCACTTGGGTGTTTGTAAACCCTAGCTACAATTATGTGAATGCTTGTATGGACTGAATGATTTGTGTGTGGTTGTGTTTAATGTGAATGTGAAGGTATTATTCATGAATGATTGTGTTGTGTGAAAGCCTATCAATCTAATTTCCATTCTAACCTAGGTAAAGAGAAAACCCCCTTTCTTTCTTTGAAAGAAGCTTGAATGCGCAAACCTCTTATTTCGTATTAGCGCCTAGGGTTTGGTTGTGGGTGGCCGTCTGAACTCCGATTCGAGGGTGAAGTCTAACCATCCCTTAGTCAATAGGCCGAGAGAGTCACGTTGGTGGCTTGGATCATATCCCCTTCCCTCGACAAAGAGACTAAGAGAGTGGCGCTTGGCTACTTGTTACACTTCCCTACGGTTTACAACCCCCTCATCACACAAGACCATTCGATCCAACGAGTCATAATTGTTAGCTAGGGGGAGCAACACGGGTGAAGCCTTCTCAATTTGTGTCAAATCCATTTACCTTTGCAAACACTTTACCTGTAGATTGTTGTTTTCACCTAAAATCAACCGATAGATAATGTTTCAAGCAATCGAAATAGGGGTACATGAACCGGCCCGAGTCGATATTTAACCATACTTGCCATGTACCGAATCCAGTTAAGATACAGTGAGGCTGGGCGTCATTGGATACTCGAGCTAGACATGTTCAACATGTTCAGATGCTGGGCAACAATGTCAGGGGTCCTCAGTCACCCCCAGTGGAGTTCTACTCCACTTTCTCCCACATCATTCCGGGGAGTAAGAGGAGTAGACCCTGCGTGGAGTTCATGCTCTGAGGTCAACCGAGGGTGCTGACATATGATGGCTTCGCTGAGGCCATGGGGCTCGACCCCACCCACATGACGATGATAGATAGGCATTACACTACCGAATTCCACAACCAGACAGCCTTCCGAGCAATTTGCCGCTCTGAGTATCAGGGGGACGAGTTCAAGGCTCCAACACCAATGCTCTGAAGCTTAGGACGCCCCAGAGGATCCTGCACACCCTCCTGACAAAGTCCATCATCCCCAGCCTACAAGCAGGACACTTGATCATGAATAGAGGGTTAGTATTCCTCCATTCACTGAACCGGCCGGCAGATCCGCCCCATCTGGGAGCTGTGGTTGTTACCAACTTTGCTCGATGCGAGGGCCGATACCGAGTGAACACGATGCACTTGGGGGCATCATCACCAGGCTGGCCCGGAACTGGAGTAAAGCAGGTGCTTCAAGGGGAGAGAGAGGAATCGAGTTCCTCGAGGGCCTACGACCCTCAGTAGCTCTGCGACTCTAGATCAACCCTGCACCAGTGCAGCCTGATCTAGAGGATCCTCCCCGTGAGCAGCCACCCACTAGAGCTCTCGGCCGCCGCCGGTGCATCGGACCCCCACCATCGTTAGCTTCATCGTCATCATCAGGGGCCGAACCCTATACCTCCGGACCCCACCTCGAGGAGCGAGTGGAATGCCTCGAGGCATACGATGTGGGAGTCACTGCTCGGCTCGACCGAATAGCTGATCTCATTAAGAGGATGGCTTGACGCCAGGGCATCCTTTTGGACGACGAGGAGTGTTCTTGCCCACGATGAGATAGCTGTCGAGGGAGACATGTTGCAGAGCCGATTTCTTTTGCCCCACTTCTTCACTTGCAAAATCTGAACTCTTTCTTTTTATTTTCTCCTTAATTAGTATGTGAACTAGTACCTTGTGAGTTCTTTATTTTGAATCGTATTGTGAAAAATTGTTATGTGTAATAACCTCGCCTCGAGCGAGACTGTGCGTGTGTTTGTGTTTTGTTTTTCCTTTGAAGCTCTAACATCCTACCCCAGTAATTTCTCCAACTTTCATTCACCAAGCCAAGTGGTAACATCGTTCTACCCCCTATTTTACGTCATCGAGGGCAATGTCGAGCTTATGTGGGGGGGGGGGTAGTTTATTATTATGTTGTGTGTGTTTGAGTGAATGCTTGGAGCCTTGATGTATGCCCAAATTTTAAAATTTTGAGGGCTCCAAGCAATGCATGATCAAAATGGACGGTTGGTGGGTGAATCTCGTGCTTATTTGAATCTTAAATTGTTGCATGTAATCAAGTGCATATTGTTATAATGACTGAGAATGCATTAGGGTTGTGCAAAAGCTTAGTTCTCATATGTGTTTAAATGAATGGATGTCTTGACTTGGTTACTTCTTGATTACAATTGCCATGCATTGAAGTTTTTGAAATTGGAATAGATGATTGGGCGGCTAGGTAGCACTGTGAGTTTTGTGCTTATCGTCTTTTTCATGTGTGATAGATCCCTCTCGACATGGTGTGTAACATTCATCGTTGTCACTAGTGAGTACGATGGAGACATAGGATTAGACCACGCCCAAAAGTTGATTGTCCCGAAAAATTTTATACCCCAGTCAACCCCTTTGAGTCGTGTGACTTTGGGGGTCGTTCTAATGCTAGTAGCTTCGTGCTTGATGAGCTTAATGGTGAATGAAAGAACAACCCCCGCCCATCCTTTCTTCATGTCAAATTGTGAGTCATCCTTGTGTCTTGGAGTTCTCGCTTTTAAGTTCCATTGAGGTTCTACATAGGTGGTTTTGCACGGTTCTTGCAAGAATTGAGAAGGTAGTGTTGGAGGAAATTTCTTAAAAGGAGAGCATTGTTCATTAAATGAAAAAAGTGGCATGTGTTTAGCTCTCTAGTACCCCCTCGAAGAAAAAAATAGAAAAAGCAAGAAAGAACAAAAAGAAAGAAAAGAAGCAAAAAGAAAGAAAAGAAACGAAAAAGAGGTAATAAAATGGGGTAAATAAAAGTAGAGAGTGGTCACAAAAGTCTAAGTGTATGCTCTAAAAGGGTTTCTTGGCACTCAAGCCATTGAAACACCTAAAATGTTTGATGACCTCCTTCATTACTAGGTTTGAAATGTGAATAGCAAGATAGGCAGAAGAAGTGTGCTTGAATGGGTTCGTGATTGGTAGTAGTTTGGAAGAAGGGAAGTGTGGTTTTTGGCCGATGCTAGTGGCCTTTGTTTGTAGGAAAGGTTCTTAGTCGAGACCATAGAACCTTGGGTTTTAGGTTGAAGATGTAGGACCTCATGCCATGTTTGCCACTACCCAAAAAGTCTTTTCCCCATGTCCAAGACAATTGCAAGTCGTTTGAACCCGTGTCTAAGAGCTGCGGACAAGCTAGTGATGACAACCGTCCCGTGAGCTCTAGCATTTAGAGGTTGCTGCCGTGGTGGAGAAACGATAGGGTTGAGTGTTGATGATTGTGCACAACTTTTGCACCAAAAAGGTCTTGACCCCACTGGTCAAGATTGAGTGATTCATTCTTTTGGGCTGTGAGTTCACGGTTATTAAGACCGTGAACTGGAGGCGTTACCCATAAGCGCCGAACGCAGCTCTCCGATTCGTCCTCTTGTGAACTTCTTTGGGAACACGAAATTGAATTGTCCTTGCTTCCTTTTCTTCCTCCAGTAAGGAAAATTCCCACCACCTCCAAATAATCCTCCACATGACTCATATTTTGCCTAAAATTCCTAGTTAATTTCGTGTAACCAAACTCTATTGCAATTACCGAGAATGGGCGACGAAATCGCCGACCTAGAAATCAACTCGTGTCGCGACTCTGTCTCGTCGGCAGCTGGTTGTGGTTTTGGTGTGCACGCCACAGAGACTGAGGCTAACAGAGGCGATGGTGGAACTCTGGCTGCGGTGGCTCCCTCGTCGACAAACTGCTCCGATTGACGCCGCTCCGACTTCTTGTGATCCCTTGGCTCCTCGGAGTCAAAGCCATCTTCGGGATTTTGATTCTTTTTCTTGAATTTTCACCCGTCACTTAGGCGGTTCAATTGGACTGGCTTTGGTGTTGCCTTCGTTTGAAACCTCGATGGTTTGTCGAAGATCTTTGCTGCCGGCATATGCTCACCTCCAAAGACCCCGCCTGCTGCCTCAACTCTGCCCAATACATATTTATAATAAAAGACACCCAAAACCCTAACAACAATCCAAACTCGACTCGGCCACACCCGACCGGCTAACCCCCTACTAACCATAATATTTATGTTTCCTACAATCCACCCCCCTTAAAACCAACCTTGCCCTCAAGGTTGACTGACTTGATCGATTCTCCCGTATTTATCGCGCAATCTCAACGTTAAATCCATAGTTTTTGACGCTTTCTTCTCTTCCATTTGCGATCAACCATTCGAACTAAACTTATGGCACAAGCTACTCTAGCATAAATGAATTTCTCATCAATGACAATGGAAGCAATTTCACCCGTGCCGCCATCTCCATCTTTATCTCATTGGATCACTTCCTGCCACTTCATAATGGCTCATTTGCACACTCCCACTTCCCAATCATGCCCGCTCGTTGCAAACCCACACGTAGGCCTTTGAGTGGTATACTTGGGAGTTAACACCTCCACCACCAGACACCGTCCGAACTGTAGCCAAGATTTAAGCATGACATGATTGGATCCGATCTCCCTCCAAGGCGAACACCTTCTCCCAACGCAACGTAAGTCACCAACTACAAGAGCTTGTCTTTTTCCGAGTGTCCCAACTTTGCACTGTCCCCCAATACCGACTGCAAGAATAGCGTATCCAACTCAAGTTCCCACGTACTAAGTTTTGAGCTCATACCATACGTCTCATGCCCGGAACGAAGGCCACCAAGAAATGCAACCGTGACAACAGTGCTCTCTTTCATTCGCGTAAGGTAATTGATATCCATGGCTCGTTCATTACTAGGCTTAAAGAGTTTCAAGAACACAAGATAATTTACCTGGCTATGCGCGTTTAATCGAAAGCAAAGACCCAAAGGTATCCGCACCCCCTTTGCAGTAGCTCGT